TCCCTCTCTTGCTGTGTCTCTCTCTGTCAAATAAGTAAAATCTTTAAAAAAAATAAAAAATAAAAAAATAAATATTAACATGCCAGGAAGTGAGTATTGCTACTAATTTGCCATTCAAGACACAGAATTAGGACTCAGCTATGTAATCAAGAGAATATATGATAGCTTACCTAGCACACTGAGATGTTTTGTTAAGAGTTGTTTTGTTTTTCATGTTATATCACCCATTCTATGGTAAAAATCAGAAGTATTACCAATATTTTTCAAACAGACTCTCAGTGATTATAAGATACTACAGTACCAGAAGCTCTCGTATATGCAAGTTTCATTAACAATTTAAAGAAGTTACCAGTTGCCAATCCTCACTACTTCTATTCCAACTGTGACCTCAATCTCATCAGGCACTGAAAAACTGACTACCTTCAATTCTGCAACCAGCTAATCGGAAAAGGCACCTCCCAACACTCTGTCATGGTTATGCCTGCCCATTTCAGAATGGAAAACAATGATTAAAGAAATCATGCAAGGGGTGCCTGGCTGGCACAGTGGGTAGGGCATGAGACTCTTGATCTCAGGGTTGTGAGGTCGACCCCCACTTTGGGGGTAAAGTTTACTTTAATTTTTAAAAAAGAAACTGCCAAACTGTTAAAAAAAAAAAAAAAAAAAAGATGACATGCCAACTCACACAAAGAAAAGAACACGGAATAGAAAATGCACTATCCTCGTGGCTCTCTTTAGGCAGTTTCTGAATGTGTTAAAATTTCTATTATACTCAAGATTCTGTGCTAAAAAGTGAGGAAGACGGGAAATACACATTAAAAAAGCGACACCTCAGAGAGTTTACAATCCAACAGAGAAAGACAACATGAATACATAATTTCTCACAATATCAACTAAAAGCCGTCAAAGGGATTAGAAAGCAAACAACTTTAAGAGCCTTAGAACACTAGTTACTTTCTCTAGGAGCCTATATTTTTCAAAGCATAGTATTTGTTTTGCAGGGGTTTTTTTTTGGTCTAATTAAATATCTAATAATACAAATGAATTGTAAAAATCAGTTACATGCTCACCGCATTCTCAATATTTAAACTGTTTCCTAAACACGACTGGGAAACGATTTCAGAGACAATAAATCAAACAAAATTTCCCTTCCATTTCTTTTAGAAAAATTTAAGTGAAGTCTTAAAAAACCTACAAATTAAATATGATGCAAAAGGGTGCTTCAGTGGCTTAGTCGGCTAAGTGTCTGCCTTCGGCTCAGGTCATGATCCCAAGGTCCTGGGATGGAGCCCCGCATTGGGCTCCCTGCTCAGCGGGGAGTCTGCTTCTCCCTCTGACCCTCCCCTCCCTCTAACCCTCCCCCACTTGCGCACGTGCTCACACTCTCTCTCAAATAAATAAACTTTTAAAAAATAAATATGATGCAAAGTTTTAATACCATCTTAAATCAAAATCAGAGAAACAAAGGCAGAAATTAAAAATACCAGAATGATCTCATTTAAGATTTTCCAAAAATTTGCCACACGCTGATTAAATAGATATAAATACCTGGCACTGCATCTCCTCGGTTCTGATTTTCAGTCCAGCAGTAGAACTCTCAGTTTCTCCATTTACCATGCCTGGCTCCACTGCCAATAAATCTAGTGTTCGCATCGTGTGGACATAAAGATCCTTGTTTAATTTAAGGGCTGCCTCTAGTACCAAAATAGAATCAGAAGCTTGCTCTTTTAGCTACAAAAATTCAATAAAAAAATTATTAAAATACAGAAACCACAGAAAATTAACCAAAATATATTCACAGGATGCTCAGTAGCTTGTAGTACTAAGCTAGTAAAAACATTTTTTACCACAGCAAGAGTGCAATTAGATCTGTTGAGATCGTTACCTTAAATTCTAAAAAATACAGTAACAGTTCCTATTGTGAAATGAGAAAATACAAAGTGGAAGATATTTTTTTTAAACAGAAAATTGGAAGAAAAATACTTTAAAGATTTGCATCCACTGATTTATTCAAGAAATGTTTGTATGCACCACTGTGTCAGCCATTTAGTAGTCACTAGTAACAAGAATAAAATGATGCAGGATTTTTCTTCCACATTCAAAATACTACAGCATGTTAATTTTATACAGACACAGAACGTTTCTTATCTCCCCTCTCCTCTCCCAGCTCCTGGACTTTTACATAGTATCTCTGGCACACTGTAGGGTTAAAGAATTACAGAGATCATTTCTAAATTATGGTAAATCCCACATTTCTACTTTTATATTAACTAGATTAAAAAAATAACTGCTATATTTTTCTGATTACAGAAGTAATTTTAAAATATTAATATGTGTTTATTGTAGAATTTTGGGAGAATATTAAAGAATATAAAAACATCACCTGTAAGAGTGATTTCTCTTACCTGCTCAAGTATCACAAAAATTCAACAAAAGAATTAATGGTGAAGCAGCACCATTAACACTGAAAAGTTGTACAATTTACAGTTATTACCAAACTACGTTCTAACAGTAAAAACCTAAATGTCATTGCTTCTAGACCTTGCCAACTCTCATATACCTACGGTTAGAAGAACCATGTGAATATACTCCCCATGCGCCCCAGAAATATGAAAGTGTAACTGATGCCGATACTCACTACTTTCAAAATATTTTCTGTTAGCTCTTTCTCCTGTTGCATCTGATTCAAACTAAAAGAGAAATGATTGAAGCTTAGAATTTTCCATCTTTTGAGTAACATTTGATGCTTTTGAGTAACATTTGATGCTTTTCAGAGCATTATTCTTCAAACTGAGGTGGAATTTAAATAAAAATGTTTTTAATGCTATTTCTTTTCAAGCTTAAAAATAAATAAAAACTCGGGGTGCCTGGGTAGCTCATCTGGTTAAGCAACCAACTCTTGATTTCTGCTCAGGTCATGATCTCAGGATCCTAGGATCAGGCCCCGAGTCAAGCTCAGGGCTCAGCAGGGAGTCTGTTTGAAGATTCTCTACCTCTGCCCCTCCCCCCCACTTGCGCGCTCTAAAATAAATAAATCTTTAAAAAAAAAACAAAGCAAAAAAACTCAATTATGATGCTTATTTAACCATTATTTTCCCATTTGATTTGTGTTTAAAAAAAATAACCCTCAATTTAAGACTAAAACTTACTGGCAGCAAAAGCTCATTTATACCAAGTTAGAAACTATGCTCTCTAGCTCCAAATCGGGTAAGCCGCTACCTAGAATTTAAGAATTTGGTTTAAAACGCCACATACAGATAAATTCAGTAATTAACTTTTGGACTCTAAATCAATTTTACATATTAAAACAATTTCCCTATATACAAAACAAATACACCTTCACATAAATTTAATTACATGAAAAAAATCTTACTATTTTGGAGGTGAGCTAACACTTACCAAAGATGAAAGGCACAATTCACAAAGCACCACCCCCTTAGCTTTCCAGAGCTCTCTCTATTCTAGATGTCCAGAGCCCTACCTGATTCTCTCACCCTTCCAACTCCTCCAAACCTACCTGCATGCAGGCCTTCTTCCCTCTGGGTTCTACCCTACACCTTCCGTACCGGGGGTTTTTAAAAACTTGCAAGAACATTTTTTTTTTAAACTCTGATGAAGAAAGTGCCAACCAAGGGTCATATCTGCCAACTTACACACTTAACTGAGGAGGTCCAGGTTTTGCCTGTTTGACAGGAAAACTACTTTGAACAATTGTCCTAATTGCCCTGAAAAGACAAGAAAAAGAAAATTTAATACATTATAAATATCACTTCTTTTTTCAAGTACTCCTTAGAACGTATATTATAAATTACCTGAAGTTTTAATTCAGATAAAAACTTCATAAATCATCCACATTTTTATCAGAATGCTCGTATCTATGCAGTCATAAATTTTCTCCACCATCAGACTCAGTTTATAAGATCCTGTGAAAGATCTCTAGGGTATAGGGGACCCTTAAAAGCAGACCCCTGAGGGGCGCCTAGGTGGCTCAGTCAGTTGAGCCTCTGCCTTCGCCTCGGGTCATGATCGGGGCCAGGGTCTTGGGGTTGAGCCCCAAGTTGGACTTCTGGCTCAGCGGGGAGTCTGCTTCTCCCTCTGCCTCTCCCCCCCACGCAGCTTGTGCTCTCAATCTCTCTCTCTCACATAAATAAATAAAATCTGGAAAAAAAAAAAAAAAGCATACCCCTGAAAGCCAGAGTGTAATTAAACAGAGGCTGCCCCACACGTTAGGTCTATGAAAAATTTACCATCTGTTGTAGAGAAGGATAGCCATGGCAGTGGTTGGAGGTAAAGTGGCCAGATCCATGTCCACATGCTTCGTCCCAGGAGGAACCTTACTGATACACAGCAATTCATTTAGTAGCATATTCAATACTGGAACAGACAAACTTAAAAGAAAGAAGCAAAACGTTCATGTCTGCATAAGAAGCATAAAATACACAATTCAATATTTTCACTGAAAATAATTACACTGCTAAAGGACTAAATCCACAGGGCCATTTTATTCACCTGTCTCAACAACTTATATGAAAATATTAAATTTCAAAATATTTTAAAAATCTCATTATGAAAACAATTTAAACATACACAAAAGTAGTCAGAATATAATGAACCCGTATGTGCCCATCATCTAGTTTCAACAACTAGCAACTGATGCTCATCTCTATTCTTACTTCCCTTCTTTCCATACTATTGTGAAGCAAATTTTTTTTTTTTTTTAAAGATTTTTATTTATTTATTTGAGAGAGAGAGAATGAGAGACAGAGAGCACGAGAGGGAAGAAGGCAGAGGGAGAAGCAGACCCCCTGCCAAGCAGGGAGCCCGATGCGGGACTCGATCCCGGGACTCCAGGATCATGACCCGAGCCGAAAGCAGTCGCTTAACCAACTGAGCCACCCAGGCGCCCTGTGAAGCAAATTTTTAACATTAAATCATTTCTTCCTTATGTGTTTCAGAACAGATCTCCAAAAAATTAACTCAACAGGGGTGTTTGGCTGGCTTAGTTGGAAGAGCATGTGACTCTTCATCTTGGGTTCATGAGTTTGAGCCCCACCCTGTGTGTAGAGATTACTTAAATAAAACTTTAAAAAATTGGGGCGCCTGGGTGGCTCAGTTAAGCGTCTGCCTTCGGTTCAGGTCATGATCCCAGGGTCCTGGGATTGAGCCCCGCACCAGGCTCCCTGCTGGGCGGGAAGCCTGCTTCTCCCCTCTCCCACTCCCCCTGCTTGTGTTCCTGCTCTCCCTTCCCTATCTCTCTGTCAAATAAATAAATAAAATCTTAAAAAATTTTTTTTACAAAATTAACATATTCACAGTATTAATTTCAGATCTAAAAAGTTTTCAGTTGCTTATCAAATATCCCATCAGTGTTCAATTTCCAACTGTATCATATACATCATACTTTCTTTGTACACATTACTATCTCTTGATATGCCTCCAGTCTATTAATGGATAGGCTCTCCCTCAGATTAAAGAATTCTTTAATTCTAATGCTTACCACTGCAGAAGGCTGGTGAGAAAGTGTTTAAACACTACCAATGAGAGCATAAACTACTACAACTCTCTTGGAATGCAATCTGGCAATATGCATCATGGGATTTAAAAATGTTTATACCACCTGAGTCAGCAATTTAATAATCTATACTAAGGACATAACCAAAAATTCAGATAAAATTTAAGGACAAAGATATTTAAGGCTCTGTGATTTATTAGAGTGAAAAAGTAGAAATAGACTAAATATAAATGGGAAAACAGTTAATAAATTCTCCACATGATGGAATTATCTCCAAAAATACAAAATGGGGAAATGTTCATGATATTGTTATGTGGGGGAAAAAAGAAAAAGAAGGGGTGCCCGGGTGGCAGAGTCAGTTGGGCCTCTGACTTGGTTTTCGGCTCAGGTCATGATCTCAGGGTTGTGGGATGTGGCTCAGTGCTCAGCGGGCAGTCTGCTTGAGATTCTCTCCCTCTCCACCCACTAATTCTCTAAAATAAATAAATCTTTAAAATATAAATAGATGTGTGTGTGTATATATATACATACCTATATATACCTATGTATACACATATGTATGTGTATATATATATATACATACACACACACACATGGAGGGGGTGCCTGGCTCGCTCAGTCAGTAGAGCATCCAACTCTTGATCTCGGGGTCGTGAGTTTGAGCCCTATACTGGGTGTAGAGATTACTTAAAATAGGGAGAAAAACAACAAAAGTTACACAAAAATGTTAGAAGTACTTGTCTCCCCTCCCCTTTTATTTCCTAGTTTCTGAATTTTACAAGGTATTTTCTCTTTAAATTGTGAGAAAAGGGGGATGAAAAATCATTTTCTAAGCGTAGCCTTGATAGTACTTATTTGTTAACAAATAAGCACTGACTGTAAGATATTTTAATAGTTTGGGAGATAGTGATTGATTTATGACCAGTAAAAAATAACTGATTTAACAGCAAATCATCTGTATTATGTAATAACTATCATTAATTTTCATTTGCTTCAGATATGTAAAAATAAACTGAAACATTTAAAACTGTTTAGGTGTGGATTTTCCCTAGTTACCACATCAAGTAATAATGATAAACTACCTCATTATGGATAGATCTATACTTTAAAAGGTGATTTAAATTCACCTAACATTCAAATATTTTATACCTTCTGAAAAACAGTTGCATATTTTACCAAGAATATAGAGAAAAATAATTTGCACTTTAAGGGCTGATTATCATATAAGCATATATAGAAATAATCCAAAATATCTAAATAGTACTTCAAAAATAGATTTCTTTTATATCTTGTGTACCTTTTCTCTAATATGTCTAAATCCCACTTCAAATGTGCAGCAACTTTAAGAGCAAGTAGTTTTAAAATACGATTTCTCTTGTTATCAGGCGGAGGTTGCACCTGGTTTTGCTCATTAACTGAAGGTTTGGAAGCCTGTTCCAAAAACTGAACAATAAGTTGAACTGGTGCAGGATCTAGGATGTAAAAGAAAATAAATTCTTAAATTTAAGTTTTAATTATCAAGATGCACAAGGTTTCACTGTACTGGTTTTTGGCCACAAAAGGGAACCCCGACAGCTCTGTAGTTATGACTAAGGATTATGATTTCTAAGAAGTATGCTTAGGGATTACAGGGAATATCAGGAAGGGTGGTAAGGAGAAAGGGTATCAGACTGGTGCAGAAGAAAACACCTTCCAAGTAAGAACATAATGGTTTTAGGTTTCCAGATCAGCAAATAACCAATGTCAATTAGAGGAAAGACATGTCATCTTTAGAACTGTTTTTAACACTTAATTAGTGCGACCTGCCTCAAGTTACCTCTCTGCACCTGTTTCCATCAATGCAAAATAGAAGATACCACCACCTACCTGAGATTATGAAGGCTAAATTAAATGAGATAACAGATGAAAAGCATTAAGGCTGGCACCTAGAAAGCACTTAATAAATGTGTATGAAAATAAATAAATAAATAAATAAATGTGTATGAAAAGCAATGAATGAAAAACACATAATATGATACAGGCGGTTTTAGTGAAAACCACTAACTTCTGGCAGAGTTGTCTCCATAGTTAATGCTGATGTAAACTGAGCAAGCTACATCTTTACGAACTTTATGAGCAAAATGCTATTCAAGAAATTTACGTTTTCATGCCAGTACCTCTTCCCAGAAATGCCTGGAGTTCTCCTCCTTCCCTAACAGCACTCATTAACTGGGGTATTAATCATGATCATTAAACACCCATGTTACAACTGTATAGCATTTCCTACTCTTAGAGATTTTCTCATTTTAATTTACAGCCCAACTTTGGAATATACAGATACATGTGTGCTTATATGTATGTATATATGTATAGTCGGTAAAATCCCCTCGCTGAGAAACAAAATAATTAGCGTCAGGATCAGCACCAGAACCGCAATTTCTCTCCGTCTCCAAATTGATCACGGGCCGGAGTTCTACAGGGGTGTGTTCGAGCCAGCCTCCCCAACCCACGCAATCTCACAAGACCACCTCGCAGATGCTAAAACCTCAAACAGTAAAGGGACCAAGGCGGAGGGGGACGGGAGGGGGACGGGAGGGGGGACGGGAGGGCCTTTGTTTGGTTTTTAAGCCCTGCATGGGGGTGCCCCGGCTCTGGGATGCTTAATGCTTAGCGAGGGGACCGGGCCAGAGCTCGACTCCGGTTCGCGCCTCCCGGGCCCGCAGCTTCGTGGCGGAGGAGGTGCGGGCGAGAGCCAGGCGGACGGCGCCGGCGGCCGGGTCCCAGTCCCCTCCGGGTGCAGGCGCCGCGCTTACCCGGGCAGGGCTTGCGCAGATGTTTCTCCAACAGCGACTCCTCCAGCAGGAACTCGAACCAGCTGGTCTGCGGCGGGGTGCAGGGCCGGCTGGAGGTGGCCGCCTCCCGGTCCGCCGCCTCCGCGCTCATCCTGCCCCCGCCGCCGCTCCCCCCAGGGACGCTTCCCGGCTCCAACCTGACACTCGGACGCGTGCCTCTGGCCTGTGATCTACGGAACCTCCCCGGGTGAGGCCACACTCAGAACGCCCTGGAAACCCACACAACTCAAAATGGCGGCGCGGCCCAGCAAGAGCTGGGGAACCTAAATCCGCCTCCTTGCGCCCCCGCCGCGCCTCCGGGCCAGTCGTTGTTCGAGTTGTAGAGAAAGGGGGCGGGGACAACCCTTAGGTCACGCCTCCTCCCCGGTTGCCATGGGAGACGACTGGCAAGGAAGCTGGGTCGCGAGTGGGCTTTCATTCTTTCCTGGGAGATTCTCAGCAAGAAAATAGAACAGCCTCATCCAAGATTACGGCGGACGTCAATGTCCTCATAAAAGACAGCGAAGACTACACGTGTAAACTGTGATCCAGGCAAAGCTTGTCTTTGGTTCTTTTAATTTCTTCATTTCCATTTCCTAGATTTCCTCCCACTTAGGTCCTCTCGGCCGGCCGAGGCGTCCTACTGGCTTGGGCACTAGCGTCCCTGAGCTTCCTTCCTCGAAGGATGACAGAATGATGGCCCACAGTGAGATCCAGCTGTTCTGTTACTTCTCAGGACTAGCTCTCAATATTTAGCGCCCAATTAATCCTCTTGATATCCCAGCTAGAGATACTGTTAATCCCATTTTCACATTTACCTCCATTCTGTAATGTTATGTTTTTAAATTAACAATTAAAATCGGAAAAAGTGTATTCATAGGTCGTGCATACGCTCTATGTAAAGAGTGCAAACTCGTCTAGGTTAAGCTGTTTAACCTCTCTGAACTTTAGTTTCCATATTTGTGCCTAATCTTAGGGTTGATAAAAGAATTCAAGGCAGAGCTTGAGATAATAAGGTAAATGAGATAAAGCAGTTAAGTTTTTTAAGATTTTATTTATGAGAGAGAACACAAGCAGGGAAGGGCAGAGTGAGAAGCAGGCTTCCCGCTGAGCAGGGAGCCCCACAGGGGTCTCCACCCCAGGGCCCTGGGATCATGACTTGAGCCCAAGGCACAAGCTTAACCAACTGAGCCACCCTGGTGCCCCCAGTTAGGCTTTTTAAACAAGGCCTGACATTTAGAACATCCATGTTACCTGATCTCATATAGTGCTTTTTTTTTTTGCAAATTATTTTCATACACATGAATCTAATTTTCTCCTATAAACAAACTATTATACACCTTTTAACCAATGAAGAAACTGAGGTTCCAGAATTATCATTTGCCCAAGATTTCCCAACAAAGTTGAGGCTGAGCCACAGCTTTGGTGAACTTTCAGCTGGATCCAGGCTGCTTCGAACATGGGATAGCAAGGATAAGATCAATTGCTTATGGTCTTTTTCCAGAATGAAGAAGGAAGGCATTCATAAGTTTTAAGAAAAATGAATGGAAGTAACTCCTCCATAAGTGAAAGTAAATCAAATACTTAAGTGGCAATCCTTGCCTTATTCTTCTCTTCCTGCCCAACCCTCTTTCTGGGCTCTGTGCTGCCTCTCTTCCATTTAGTGGTCCCTAGGTTCCTTGTTCTCTTCTCACTGTAAAAACCATCCCTGGGTCACTACCCCCAATTAGTGCAATTCTATCCCAGGCTCTAAAGGAATCATTCATGTTTTGGACTAATAAAACCATGAGGACTAAATTAATAAAATACAAATGGGGAGATTAAACAGTTATTTTCATGGAAGATTTGGCATGTTTTACTCACCAATTAGGCATAAAAAGATGAGCAGAGAAAGAATGGATCCCATGTTCCTGAGTCCAGTGATAAGGGTAGCTGACCTGTGTCTCTGTCCTTTATCAGTATAGTGAAGAGCTAAGGGATGGGTTTGAAATTCATGTTGGAAATGTTTGAATATGCACCATGTCTCAGGTGTCAGAATGGAAATGTCCAGAGGGCGGTGAGTTTTAGACAGATGATTCGTATACAGAAAAAAAAAATCTAATAATAGTAGCAAATGCTCATTTGTGAACTCGCTGTGGGCACTGATTTAAGCACTTTATGCATTGTCTTAGTCCATTCAGGCTGCTAAACAAGATACCATAAACGGAATGGCTTTTAAACAACAGAAGTGTATTTCTCACAGTTCTGGAGGCTCCGTGCAAGATCAGGGTGCTAACATGGTTAAGTTCTAGTAACAGCTCTCTTCTGGGGTGCAGACGGCCAACTTATTGTATCCTCAACTGACAAAGCGGAAGGGAGCAAGTTCTTTCCTAAAGGCATTAATCCCATCCAGGAGGTCTCCACCATTATGAACTCATCTAATCCTAATTATTTTCCAGTGGTCCTGCCTATTAATACCATCAGGTTAGGTGGTAGAGTTTCAACATTTCAACATATAAGTGGGAGGAGTACAAACATTCAGTCCATAACATGTATATTATCTCATTCAAGCCCTGTGAGGTGGGTTTCACCATGATCTTCATTTTCAGGTATTAAAACAGGCACAGAGAAATTTTTTAAACTTTCCTAAAGTCACACAGCTATTAAGTGCCAGAGGCTAAGCATAAATTTAAGCAGCATGACTGCAGAGATTAAAATCTTACCCCATGCACTATGTGCCTCTTTAATAAGAAAAGACCAAACCTGGGCACCTGGGTGGCTCAGATGGTTAAGCGTCTGCCTTCGGCTCGGGTCATGATCCCAGGGTCCTGGAATCGAGCCCCGCATCGGGCTCCCTGCTCTGCGGGAAGCCTGCCTGTCCCTCTACACCGCCCCCGGATGGTGTTCTCTGTCACTCTCCATCAAATAAATAAATAAAATCTTAAAAAAAAAAAAAAAGAAAAGACCAAACCAAACCAAACAGTCCAGTAGAAAACTGGGCTGAGGTCAGGAAAATGCAACCTACAAAAAAGATATCTGAATCCAAGTTAGAACACTGAAGAAAATATTCAGGCTCATCAATATTCAATGAGCAGAGTTTGAAAAGTTAATCGACATGATTGCAGATTCCAAATTGCAACTAACCTTTTAAAAGAAACACCACTTTCTTGAGTTTTGGTGTAGTATCAAAGAAGAAAATCCACAATTATCTGAAAAGACTTAAAATACTCCTTTTTCTTTTTTTTTTTAAGTAAGCTCTGCACCCAACATGGGTCTTGAACTCACATGCTTTACCAACTAAGCCAGCAAAGAACCCCAAAACACTCTTTTTCAACTACATATCTATGTGAAGCTGGATTTTCTTCATATATTTTTACCGAAAGAACTTACAGTAATAGTTGGAAAACAGAAGCAGATATGAGAACCCACTGTCTTCTATTAGTCATACATGAAAGAGATTTGCTAAAATGTAAAACAAAGCCTTCTCCTTACCAGAGTTTTAAATGAAAATAAAGTTATTTTGCATAAAAATTATGTCAACATATAATAGTCTTATGATTTGTATTATTTTTATTATTTATTTATTTTAATTCCAATTAGTTTACATACAGTGTTATATTAGTTTCAGGTATACAATATAGTGATTCAACAGACTTTTATTTTTAAATGAGTTTAGCATCCCTGACTCCACTGGGCCACACCACCATTTTGGATTGTGTGGGTTTCTGGGATGTTCTAAGCCCAGCCTTGGTCCCTGGATCCCTGAGGTTTTTAAGGGAATTAAATATTTTTAAAATTTCTCAGTTTTAATTTTTAATATGGTAAACATCAATAAACATAACTCATAAATAAAGACTTTATTTATCACTTATGAACCAGGCACTATGCTGAGTATTTTACACACACCATCTCAGTTAAGCCTCATAACAACCCCACAATAAATAGGTACCATTAGCAGTACTATGCCCATCTTATAGATGAGAAAACTGAGTCTCAGGGGAGTTAAGTGACTTGCCCAGTATCACACACTTAGTTAATAGAAAATAGGGAATTTGAGTCCCTGTTTTATCTGATCCCACAGCCCAAACTCACCACTCCAACAAAAAGATATCTTGCTGTTGATTGTTTGGTTTGCTTTTTAAATAGTGATAAACCTACAAAAAAAAGTTGCAAGAATCATATAGAGAACTCTTTTTTTTTTTAAGATTTTATTTATTTATTTGAGAGAGAGAGCATGAGCAGGGGGAAGGGCAGAGGGAGAAGGAGAAGCAGGCTCCCCACTCAGTAGGGAGCCTGACTCGGGGCTTAATCCCAGGACCCTAGGATCATGACCTGAGCCAAAGGTAGATGCTTAACTGACTGAGCCACCCAGGCGTCCCTGCAGCATTCTTATTTTTCAGGTAGGTCACAGACTCTACCCTTCTGAAATCTGGGCCTCTGTCACTGACAACATAGTATAGGAAACTAGAGCTACAGTGGGGGGAAAAAAATGCATAGAGGTATTATTACTATTTTTTAATTTTTTAAAGATTTTATTTATTTATTTGAGAGAGAGAGCAGGGGAAGGAGCACAGGCAGAAGGAGAAGGGGAAAGAATCTCAAGCGGACTCGGAGCTGAGCACAAGCCGGATCCCATGATCCTGAGATCAGGATCTGAGCTGAAACCAAGAGTCAGATGCTCAACTGACTGAGCCACCCAGGAGCCCCATGGTATTATTACCGTTATGCACCCTAATGATAAAGATGTTTTTTACATCATCTGATAATCACATCAGTAAAAATCCATTTGAATTCAGTTCATATGTTTAAGGTTGTTGTTGTTGTTTTCTTTTTAAAGCAAATGCACTACAATTCAATTATGAACAGATAATTTAAAACTTTTTTCGGGGGCGCCTGGGTGGCTCAGTCGTTGGGCATCTGTCTTCGGCTCGGGTCCTGGGATGGAGCCCCTCATCGGGCTCCCTGTTCCTCGGGGAGCCTGCTTCTTCCTCTCCCACTCCCCCTGCTTGTGTTCCCTCTCTCGCTGTGTCTCTCTCTGTCAAATAAATAAAATCTTTAAAAAAAAAAAACTTTTTTCAGTAAGTACATTGGGGGTGGGGCCCCTGGCAGGCTGAGTCCGTAGAGCATGCGACTTTTGATCTCTGGGTTGTGAGTTCAAGCCCCAAGCTGGGTATAGGGCTTACTTAAAATAATAATAATAATAATAATTAACAACAACTATTGGTTGCGTAAAGAACTATGTTAATGGTTACACTGCCATCTTGTGGTTGTTGGGG